GGAGGATTTCTAGACGCAAAAATTGCAGATTGTGAAATATTCATTTAAAATCAGAAAGAACTTTTTTCTTACTTTTTCTAACATCTTCTTCTCTTTTTCCCCCTCCTTTCCTTTTAATTTTCCTGTATTTTTATTCTTAATGTAATTTCTTTTCTCCCATTTTTCTGTTATCTTCCATTTACCATCTGTACTTTCTGTTACTTTTATCTAATTCTATAAGCATTCTTCTAGTTCATAATAGGATAATTTATTTCAATTCCCTGTCCGCCTTCTCATCTCATATATTTTGAACTTTTTTATATTTTTCTTCTTGCATTCTCCCTTTCCCCAATCCCTATATCTTTAATAGTATAAATATTAAAATTCATTAACACTTACAGTTAGCTAACACTTCAAAATCACTGTTGAATTTTCCTACAATTAGAGGAATTGTAAGTGCTCTATATAATACATATTAGGTATATGTCAATATCTAGGTTTTTATGTTTATACTATTATTCGGCGTTTCTGATTTATATGGCTAAGCATGGTACATTACTGCTTCCATTTGTATTTTAGTATTGAATTTATATTGCACTCTACTGCTGTAGCTGTTTTGCTTGACATCGGCAGTGTCACATAATTCTTACCATCAGTGAGTTTTCACTATATGACAATTCCCAAATTACCTTTGTGACATTAACAGTGCCAGGATACATTCCTAGAGAACTTGGTGTTGAACCAATTGCACTGTACCCTCCCCTCCCAAATTACCAGAGGGGGCCGGATCTTAGGCCAGACAGAAAGGACCATTGTCAGGTATGCCCGCTCTACACCGCTGAAAAGCAAACTAACTACACAGGTCTCTAACAACAAATCTTTCAACTCTGAGTGCTGCAAACTTTAACATACACATACTCCCCTGACCACACATATGAAATGTGAGAGGACAAGGCCACAAAATAGCTCCCAAAATTTCAAAATCTTCCAAATACAATCCAGGGTACTACAAAGGAGAGAACAGCTTAAGCCACATACCTGAGTTACTTGGAATGGTAACACAGGAGGTCAGAAAAAAGAACAAAGATTATCTCAGCAGAATCATACAAGATATAACTAAAGAGATAATGAGGTAATTACACTAAATAATCAATGAGTTAACAAATAAATTAATAAAAAGCTAGCTGAGCTGGATAAAATGATACAAAATGCAAAAGAACAACTTACAAATAATTAGAGTCTATATAAATGAGAAATCCTGCAGACTAAATATTGTATTGAAAGTGTGGGCAGCAGAAGTGACCACCAACAAATAAAAATTCTGAATAACCCAATACTGGAGAATGAAGTTGAAGAATATCAAATAAGAAAATCCCAGGTACTGCAGGATGTACTCTTGAATTCTATAAGAACTTTGCAGAAGATCTAATGACAATACTCCTTAAAATTATCAACAAAATTGAAAGAGAAACAGTATTCCCAAATCATTCCTGCTAGTAGGTATCACCCCAATCCAAAAAGGAGAAAAACATCAATTCAGAAAAGTGAACAACAGATCAATCTCTTTAGTCAACA